ACCATATGCATTAGGACAACTTTTTAAAAGTAAATAGAAAATGAATTTAACAAAAAAGTTACATGTTCAACTGTCAATCTAAGTCTATATAATCCATGTGGCAGACAGAACTGATGTGACTATTCTTGATTCCTACACTTCCTGGTGTTTAAACCTTTGTATAATTCCCTCCCCTTGCACGTGAACTGGACCTATGGCTTGCTTCTAATCAATGAAATACAGCAAAGGCAATGGGTTGTATGTGATTACGTGTACATGATTATGTAAGAACATAGCACCAGTTCACCTTTGCTAGACTCTCTTCCTGTGCTGACTTTGAAGAAGCAAGCTGCTCTAAACCTAACAGACACAAAGAAATAAATTCAGCCAATAACCCAAGGAAGTCTGGGGGCAGACCTTTCCCCAGTTGAGTCTCTAGATAACCCAGCCCTGGCCAACACTTAGACTGCAGTCTTACAGACGACACAGCTAAGTTGTGCCCAGCCCCTTGACCCATAGAAATTGCGAGGTAGTAAATGTGCTGCTTAGAACCGCTAAATTTGTAGTCATTTGTTAATAAGCAGCTTAGAAAACAAATAAAATCAGAACCTAAGGCATTTCTAAACTCTTTTTTTACAAAAAGGCCTACGTTTTGTGCAATTTCTAAACAAGTAAATGTCATGTACATGCAAAATTAAAACACAGACTAACATTTCAAATTAACAATAGTTCTTAAGAATATTTACGTAAGGTAAAACTTAGGAAGTAATTTGCTACATAAAGCAGTTCCTACACTCTCTTTTAACACATTTGCCAATATACCCAATTTTACATAATACTTAGTAGATGTAATAAGTGTAACATTAGGGCAATTCTCCTTACAAGCCCAAACAATAATAAATAGTTTAAAAGTTGATATCTAATTAACGATATTTGGTAGTCAGAAGAACTTACTTACTAGTCATCAGGCAAAGCAATCAAATTGGAGGACAGCAAGGGACTTGCTGGAGATGTGCCTGAGGGAGTAAGACACTATCTTACAACAACAGGGCTCTTACTCCCTCAGGCACTGCACCAGCCAGCAAAGCATCAAAATACCAGGTTCTCAGGTCATGCTGCTCTCAGATCAGGTGATGCCCTGTGCAACTCACCAATCCTCCCCACCTTGCAGTCAAGAATAGTTCCAAAAAATTCCCAAAGCAGAAACTTCCACGACACAGGCCACACTTACACACAGCAAAGCATATAATACGAAGGTATGAAATTACAAGCGAGAAACAATAACCACCAAAATCCTTGTTACTTCAGGAGTGGCAGGGGTTGTGGTTAGAAGGCTCATTTTTCTTAGAAAGAGGCAAACATTCCTCTTCTGCCACTCCCCGTAAAAGCCTTCAATGACACAAAATAACATTCAAGAATAGGAAATAAATTACAATATCCCAAATTCAAACATTTTGGCACTTGATATTGGTAAGAAGTGATAACTGAGACCAATTCAATAATGGTTAATTGATGAAGATAACCTAACACCATAAAACTTCACATCTGCCTTAAAAATTAAGAGAAATCTTCCTAGAAATATAGGTCTTCAACAATTCAGTTTTAAGAGATAACCCGCACTCCTTTAATATAAGAAAACATGTTTCACAAGTAACAAGGCACCTGAATGACAATCAGACTACTGAAATACTCAAGAGCAAGCCACACCCAAGAAAGCTCAAGAAAATCAGGAGGTCAAGAGCAACCCAGCTACCACTGGTTGTCTGAGATTAAGTCATTTTACATTTTCACTTCCGGACTCAAGGACACATTATAGAAGTCCACACGATTTCTCTGGAAATAATCTCCATTTATTGGTATATTTCTATAGCCCAATTCATCTACCCCATCCTTGCCGCATCAATAAAGGCTATTTTACCACTCATGTTATGCTCTTATGCACAAAGCTACTTGACAGTGGAAAAAAAAGTAGACATAAATTAAAGGCAAACAAACCCTCTCTAAGATACTATCAAGATTTTTAAATATTAGGAAATACCCTTAAGACCTGTTTTAAAACAAAGGTGATGAACAATACTAGCAGTAGTCAAGAAAGTGCCTGTTCACTTTAACACTCCCCAGTCTGAAAAGAATAACAAAGACAAGATTTACTTTACCTAAAAACTCCCATATAAATATAATCATATTCTGATGTCCAGCAACTCAATTCTAGGAAATTTCTACAAACTGAAATATCTGGATTAGGCATTTTTCTTCCAGTCTCTAGAGAGAATAAGAGCGTATATAGCCAAAATAGATGTCCAAAAGACAGCAAAACATAAAACCAACACAGAAAACTTCCTCGTTCAATGTGGCAATTCATTTTGAGGGAACTACTAACAATTCCACTTGCTAGACTCTTAAGTGTTAAAAATAAAAGGTGGGGGGACTGTTTTTCATTTTCTATAAATTACATGACAGCTCACAAGAGAATAATTTTGAATCTTATTGGTACCATATTTTCTTATTAGGAGATGTGAATAATCTAAACAACAATTAAAACGACAGTTTTACAAAAAACAATATGAACTTTCCATTAATACTGAAATAATCCTTTTATCAATTTTCAGATGGAGTTATTTGCATATAACCATTTATACAATTTGTAACTGAATAAATACAATGCTATAACAGATACTAAAAAAATTAAGTAAATGTGAAGTATAGTCAAGTCTAATTTTTTTAATTATGATTCTTCATCTAGCTCCCTAAATCTCAAGATGATGAGAAACATGCTTCTATTATTTTCCTAATAACCTGTCCACTAAAATATAGGTAAAAATCTCAGTAAAGCATGCCACTAAGATGGGTTTTTACATAAGTGTATTCCATCTCCCTGTCTCAACAAAAATTTCAGGATGTGGCAGTTTCATCTGATCCTGTCATATTGTCATATAAGAATAGGTAGTTTCTCCGATCCCTTTCCAGCAATTCTAACTGAGGTTCCTCATCTGAATCACCAAACACAGGCAATTATTTCAGTGACTATTTTCTCAACTGTTCCAAGAATGATACATAACTAAAACCGTCCTAAATGCACTGGAGCTAAAAGTTAAAATGCATTGCACACTACAGCACAATTGTCTCCTCAAAGCCGGTTGACAAAGGCTGCTATAAGTTCCTCAGAAACTGTCACTGTACTACTAGGTCCCTGTCACCCAACCCCAACAGCACTAAAAGAACTATAGTGAGTGCACAAACCTAGAACTTAGATAAGAAAAAAGAGAAATGCTTTATCTCCAACTTTAAGCAACTAGGTATTCTGATTTACTCATTTACTAGTAAGCATGGAGCTCAACTGTTTGTCCCTTGCTCTGAATGGAATGCATTTACTTAACAAAATAAACCCACAGAAATATAATGTTTCTCAAAGGGAATTATCAGCTCTTAGAAAATGAATTTTTAAAAATCAGCATATTAAATAAATATTAACTATTAACTTGACAAGGCTTTTCCTATTCACCCTTCTTTAGCAAACTTAAATATTCACCTTTTGATAACTGCTAAATGCAAATTTTCACTTTAAAAATATAAATATTAAAAACCAGTTTGTCCTTCATTCTTGCACTAATCACCAATTCTCAGAAACTGCCTTTTATATTCTTCAATGTGGACTACAGCAACTTCAACTAGTAGGTTAGTTGTGATCAAATCACTTTAAGGACACCAGTAGAGTTCCTTTACTCAAAAGCAAATGACTTTTAAAAATGGCCCAATTTTAAGAGGGATGCATATTTTTAAGAAGCAAAAATTACTTTAAAACAAGGTAGCTAAAAGTCAAGCGTCATTCCATATTGAATGTGCAAAGCGTTACTAAAAGATGGGAAAAATTAAACATGACATTCTTATTTTTAATTTATGCTGGCGTGTATGCTGATAGTACAGAACATTAGAACAGATGAATTACTACGTATTCCACTTTACTAAGTCTCCACTCAAAGTTCCTACGTTTACAAATACATGAGTAAAAGAGGCACAAAAATGTAGGGGATGCTGTTTTCGCTGCTAATCTGTGCTCACCTGTGAATTCTTCTAATATCGGATGCATAATGCGATGAAATGGGAATGCTTATCTTCTATACTTCTATTTATTTTCATAAATCGGGGAGGGGAGGTGGTCTTGATTCATTTACTATTAGCGTTTTTGCAATCAAGTAGATCAGCATAAAACACAACTGAAGAATTATTCATTTTGCCAGGACAATGCACCCTTCCTCCTGTTTCTATAGTAAAACCATCTTTTGCTATTAATAATGCCCATTTTTCATAACTGACTTTTCCTTAACTCTAGTCAACACTGCTCTTCAAAAGAACCTAGCCAATTACTGTACCTTGTAGGCTGATTTGCAAAATTTTTACTTCCTTAGGAAACTTTTCCATTTTCTAAATGCTTTCCAAATTAAGCAGGACTCACATTAACTGTGACCTTAAGTAGCGGTTTAGTGAGGTTTAAAAACAAACTTTTCATTAACGCATTCATACAATTAAAGTGACATAGTAAGTGGGACTGACACAGATTTAAGGATTACAGTTTTATACTAAAAGTCGGTCCAAAGATGGTAACTCAGCGTTCATTCGAGACCCTTTGACTTTTGGCCTTTAAAAACTGTTCCCCACTGAGTCCCCAGATAGAACTACATTTAGCAACGGGTCTCCTCCTGACTTCCTGGTACTAAAAGCCGAAACCACAAGGGCTGTTTCGTCTGTTTGTTGTAAAACAACATTTGCTCCAGTCATCTCTATGGAAAACAGACTTTCTCTACCGGGGAGCCACTGAGGTGAGGGTGTTCACGATGTTTAAAAACCAAACCACGCGTCTACGCGGTAGCGGCACCGCAGGAGTTAAGTGCCGGGGGTTTCTTCCCAGGATGGAGACCAGCCCGGCTGAAGGAGAAAAGGAGAAGGGTAAAAATAGCCGGCTGCCACGACCCACGTGCAGCCGAGACAGGACCGAGCGCGGGCGCGAGGAGAGGGGTCCGTACCTCCAAACATGTGCGGCGAGAGGTGAGCTGGTAAGGAGCCGATCACCAGGCGCGGCCCGCCGGGGCTCCCGCCCACCGGCCGCTCCCGGCCGCCGCCGCCGTCTTCAGGGCTGCTGTGTACCGAGTCCTGCGAGCCGTAAGGGCCGCTGCTGCTGTTCGGGATGCTGAAGGAGGACTGCGCCGCGCGGGTCCCCGACGCCACGCTCCCCACGGCCCCGCCGAGGGAGCGGCTGCGCGGGGCTGCTGGGGCCGCCGCGGCCGCTGCGGCGCCGCCTGAGGCGCCGGGCTGGTGAGCGCTGGGCACCTGAGCCGGGAACCTCCCAGCCGCGGCAGCCCGAGCGCCCCCGCCGCCGCCCGCGGTCCCATTGGCCCCTCCACTGCTACTGGAAGGTAGATCCGAGCCCGAGTAAGCGCGCGTGCGGCCGTTAGCGGCGGCCGGGCCGCTCTGCTTGGCGCCCATGTCCGCCCTGCCCTGGGCCGGGCCCGCGCGCTGCGCCCCGAGAGCCGGGAGGGCGGGAGCGAGCGCAGGAGCTAGAGGGCAGGGCCGAGGCGCCGCGGCCGGCCCAGAGAGGCCCCCGCACGTCCAGGGCCGCCGCCCGGCGCCCCGAGGGGCAGTCGGCGCCCGGCGCGCTCTTCTCGGGGCAGTGGGCGAGGCCGGCGGCCTGACGCGGGCGCAGGAGACGAAGAGACGCGGAGAGGAAGAGGTCCCGGCGGCTGGCACCCCTCGCTGGCTCCAGCAGGAACGGGCGGCTCAGGTGGCCGTGCGGCTGCCGCTGGTTTCGGTTCTGGTGCGCCACGACGGGCTGCTGCCGCTCTCTGCCGCCGCGCTCGGCGCCCCGGGCCTCGGCACCGCCTCCTCTCGGGCGGCCGCTGCTACCGCCGCCATCCTCCGGCTCCCACGGCGGCTGGCGGCTGAGTGGGAGGCGCCGGCCCAGACTCCGCCGGGGCCACCTTCCCTCCTCCCCCAGCCACCCAGCTGTTATTAACGGAGAAAGAGGCAAAACGGGTGGCGCGCGAGGGAAGGACGAAGAATGGGAGGGAGGGGTGGCGCGCGCTTCCCGGCAACCGTCGCCTCGCTCCCCCTGCGAAGGAGGGGCCGGGCTGGCGGGAGGATCTGGGCCGCGAAGGTGGGGGTGCCCGGGAGGGGAGGAGGTTCCCTGGCCCTCGCGCCGGAAGACCGCGGAGCTGCGCGGCGGCAGGGTGCGCCCAGCCCGTGTGTTTGGGTCGCGCGCGGTGACCCCGCCCCCGCCCCCTCGCGCCGCCGGGCCGATTGGCTCCCGCCGGCCTTGCCCCGCCTCCCCTGGCCGCGACCTGCCCGCCCCTGCTCCGCCTCTCCAAGGTACTGCGGTGTGGTAGGTGCTGCCACCCGTGGACTCGGTGATGGACAGGTGTCTGGCCCCGCCCTGCCAGCCAGGGCGAGCCCGTGTCTTCCTCGCGGGGCCTAAGCTGATAGGAGGGACGGACACCCGGCGCCAACCAGAAGGCGGCCCCTCCTCCCGCACGTGGCCCGCCGACGCTGGAGGAGCCTGTGTCAGCTGCAGTTTTTCCTGGCAGGGGGCGTGAATGGCTGTGTCCTGTGCCCAGAGCCATTTGGTTTCGGTGGGTGTTGGTGTTACACACTGATTTAAAAAAAACAGAATCTCAAAAGCCAGCTTGATCTGAATTAGACTCACTCATGAAACACCAACCTGGGAGGAAGCGCAGAGTTGGAAGAACTCGGGATAATCCAACTTGACCCTCCGTGGTGGGGCAAAAACCGTCGTGCCAGGAACGCTGCACCTGACTCACAAAACCTAAGATCTAGGCCCAACACCAAACTAAATTATGTGTAGTGAGCAAATTATTTTACTTTTTTGGACTTCAGGTTTGTTTTTGTTTTTGTTTTTGATACTGAGTCTCGCTCAGTCACCCAGGCTGGAGTGCAGTGGTGCGATCTCGGCTCACTGCAACCTCCTCCTCCCGGGTTCGAGCGATTCTCCTGCCTCCTCCTCCAGAATAGCTGGGATTACAGGCACGTGCCACCACACCTGGCTAATTTTGTATTTTTAGTAGAGACAGGGTTTCACCATGTTGGCCAGACTGGTCTCGAACTCCTGTCCTCAAGTGATCCACCCACCTCGGTCTCCCAAAGTACTGGGATTACAGGCGTGAGCTACCGCACCTGGCCGACTTTTTGTGTTAAATGCTAGGGCACCTGCATCTTTAAGATCCTATAACTTCTCTAAAATGGAATGTAATAAAATTCTCTTCAGTGCATTCCTCGGTGTTGGTGTGGTCTCTTCACGGCAGAGCGGGGTCTGGATACCCAGGGAATAGCCTGCTCTGAGACTCCCATTTTGAAAATGTCTAGTCTCTACTTGAAAATAATAGCAAGTGGTATTTTATGAAACTACAGAAATAAATACTTTGTCATTTTTCACTATTTGCAATAAGTCGTTTATGTAATGATTTTCATCACTCTTAGGGTATGGGAATCAAGTTTTTAAACGGAGAATATATGTATACATATAAAGACATGCATCGTGTATCTATGTACACAAACACACATATTTAATGGAAAAACAAAGGTACTCAGTGCTTTATATGCAATATCATGTTAAGATATGGTCATTATTTTGGTTAAGTGCCCTCTGCAGATGTTTCCTGCCACCTCCTTCCCCATCCCAGCATCACAGACTGACTGCAGTGTTCCTACTCAGTGCTGTACAATAACTCCTTCATAGCTCTGATCATGTTATTGTTATTACACATCTTGCTTGTCACAGTTGGCTCCATGATAAACTTCATGTCTGTACCTCCAGTGTTTAACATAGTGTCTGGTCTTGCAATGGTACAAAAAATGTTTTGTGAATGAATGAATGAATGAGTGAGTGAATACATATATCTTCACCAGTTGTACTAAAACAATTATTTCTTGAATGTCACTCATTAACTTATGTTCTTATTCTCCTTGACATTTCCCTTGTGGTGGATGCCCCTTCCACCTCCTCTCTGGTGGGCCTTTTTGTTTCTTTCCCCACAAGGATTCTGGAGATAAAATGCTGGCCTTCTATGTTCTTTCCTTGGCCCTCTTTCCTCTCTCCTCACCTTTCTCATCTCTCTCCAGTCACCAGCATGAAGCTTTCGATGTATGTTATTGTCAACCAAATAGTTCTGCCTTCATTGAAAATGTGTCGCTTCTTTATTTATTTATTTATTTTGAGATGGAGTCTTGCTCTGTCGCCAGGCTGGAATGCAGTGGTGGGATCTGAGCTCACTGCAACTTCCGCCTCCCAGGTTCAAGCGATTCTCCTGCCTCAGCCTCTGGAGTAGCTGGGATACAGGCACATGCCATCATGCCCAGCTCATTTTTTTTGTATTTTTAGTAGAGACAGGGCTTCACCATGTTGGCCAGGATGGTCTTGAACTCCAGAAATTGTGATCCACCCACCTCGGCTTCCCAAAGTGCTGGGATTACAGGCGTGAGCCACCGCGCCCAGCCATCACTTCTTTATTATACCTACCAGTTCTTCAAAAATTAAAAGTGCTGCTTCATCCAAATGAGTACACACAGGTATACACATAAGTAGAACTGCAACGGATTTTTGAGATAATACCCATGCTATCAGAAATGCACTCTGCTTTCTATTTGACTTCACTTTTGTAAAATGCTGGTCACCGCTTATTGGATTGATTTTATAACCCCCTAAGGGGTTGTAATCTGCACTTGGATAAACAGTAGTCTAAATCAGTGCTTTGCAAACTTTAGCACACACAAGGATTACAGGAAAACCTTGTTAAAACAGGCTGTTGAGCCCCACCCTCAATGATTCTCATTCCATAGCTCAGGGTTGGGCCTGGAGAATTTGCATCCTAACAAACTGCGCAGTGATGTTGCTGCCGTCAGACTTCAGACTCTTGTTTGGAGAAGCACTGGTCTAAATGGCGCTTTCCTCTACAATCAGAACTGTTGTTTTAATGCCTTCATGACCTTATTAAGAGACGAGAGCCCAGCTCTTTAAAATGTTTCAAATTTGAAGGTTTCAAAATACACTATATTCCTCCTGATGCTGTTCAATGATAGGTTGGCCAAAGGCTTTGGGGGTGCAAAATTAGGTATTGTTAAAGCACTTCACATTGACAAAATTATTGGCCACAAACCCACACTGGAACAGGTAAGCTGCTTCTGGGCTTTCAATAAAAATGCCTGGCCAATCAGTTTGTTGTTGTCTAGTTTGAAGTTTAGTTGGGGCGAGCCTCTTCCCTTTGTATTCCCTTACTCTCCTTTGCGTTCCTTTTTCCTCTCTTGGTTTCTCTTTTAAAACTCTGCTGGATCAGACCTTTGATGTGTGGGCCAGCAAATTTGCATAGTGACACCCATTAGTCTTCTCAGTCAGGGACCACAGCCTCCGTACAGGGCTATCCTGCAGCCAGCACTAGCCCTACACATTTTGCTAAGGTTTTGCCATCCCACTTTTCCCCTTGTTATAGGATTTAAGAGATGGTTATGGCTTTGGTTTTTTTTTTCTTTTTTTCAAGTAAGTGTTCGTACACTACCTCATCTCTACCAAAATAGGACTATATGTATAATTACCTATTTTTAAATAGGCCTATTTTCCTATTATTTTACTTTTTAAAGAAACAAATGGACCATCTAAACATTAAAATGAATCTTAATACATCCTACATATGTGTTAATATATCCTACATACACTGTCCAAGATCTTAGTGGTGATTAGAAACTTACATCTTAAATTCAAAAGCTTAGTTTGTAGTATTTACGAATCACATTGTTGGGTAATTGTTCAGAAAACATCAAAAGTTTATGTAATATCTTTAACAAAATTTTGTCTTCCCTACCCTGTACTTGCATTGGTTTTTTAATGAGAAGCAAAAGACAAGAGCCAATCATGACAGGATTAAAAGTACATGCCATGAAGTGGTTGAGCTCAAGCTGGGGTTAGGCCCTGGCTTTGTCTAACACTGGCTGTGGGATTTAGGGCAAGCCACTTAACCTAGCTAAACCTGTTTCTTCTGTAAAACACAGATGATCATATAGTAATACCAGTCTCACCGAGTGGTTATGATTTTCAAAAGATTCAGTCTCTATTTGAGAGAACTTTGAAATGTGTTAATAGAGAAATTTTAATCTCAATGTTATTCTTCCTAGCAGATTGTAATAATTTCCATATTATCTCCAGTAGGTTGTGACATTTTACAGTTCAATATATACTAACACTCACTGGAATTGATTTTAGCATTTTGTGAAATTTTAATACATTATTGATGCATAAGGATGTATTGGTAATAATTAGCAGTAGTTTACTAATAAGTATTTACATCACTGCTATAATGATGATAGTATGATATGTCATGATGACAAATCTATATCTTTCCACCATGGGATGGATGGATGTGTGTGGGGGTGTGTGTGTGTGTGTACACATACTCATAGATAGATAGATGAAATTTGAAAGGAAATTATCATTAAGATATCAGAGACTACCTATTTGAAATCTCCAATATTTAAACCCTTAAACATTTTTTTTCTTTTGATTCCACAGGGCAGTTAACACTTTGGCTAAAGAGTCTTTGGGTCCTAAATAGGCTTAAATGTGTCACAAAAGCATTTCGTGTTGATTAATCGATGACCGAAGCCCTATGGCTATGTTTAACATAGATTCCGTAATCATTTTCCTTTCTAAAAACAGCTTGAGATACAATGTCAGCACCTGCTAATAAAAATAACTTAATTTTTGCTTACCAAAATGGTATGTAGTATTATTAAGAGCTTAAATATTTATATCGTGTTCTATTCTCAATTAATTCACTTGGGCTTTCAAACATTTTTTTTTTTATTTTTAAGAGCCCTTATTTAAAAACTGTTAATACCAACCAACCAAAACCCATGATGCTTTTACTCCATTATAAAGGAAACTCTCAGATTCCATACATAGTGTTTTGAAAGGAATCCAAGATCTTTACTGGGGACATACTGTTAAAAAGACATAAAATTTAGTGGAAAAATGTATCATGGGGTCGGTACCGAGGGGATTTTCCCAGCCTACAGAAGTGAAGACTAGCGTGGAGAAAAAAATAGCTCTCTGCTACATAATGCATGTGGTCCCTCCTCCAATGCAGATGCACCCTCCAAACTGCCTCCTGTCACTTGCTTAAATCATGAATACTGTACGTGAATGATTGTTGCACATGTATGATTAAAATGTATTATGAGACATTTTCTCTTACCACTTCCTCCCTCAAAGGTAGCCAAAAGCCCCCATAAAGGCAAGCCCTACATTTTAGGACTAGATTGTTTAAGCCTCCCAAGTACAGGAACTCTATTTCTGCTTCATTTTTAACTCCCCACAGTGCCTGCTTCTAGAAAGCCTGAAGACAATCTATATGCAAGAGACTTTGAGTAACAGCTATGGCTCACTAAGGGCAGGCAGCAGTGATTAACGCATGTCCGGAATTACTACTGACTTAACAGGCTGTCATCACCACCTTAAGTTTGTGTGTGAAGTTGGCT